TAAAACAAAAAGATTATTAAAGCAAAAAGAAAAAGTTACAAAAAAAACTGGAGGAAAAAACTTCAAAACAAGGAAGCAAGAAAACGGTACAGTAAAAGAAAACAAAAATGAAACTAAATCTAAAAGACCCAAACTCATTGACCGCCTGAACAAATACGATAATGCAGCAGGGACAGGCGGGTTAAGCAATGATACAAAAATACGTCAACGTCACGTACGAAAAGTATTCAGCAGTTCTGAAAGTGATGATGAACCTCAAAAAATGACTTTGTTTACAATCCAATAGCTGTCAGAAAACTTTGTTTCATTTGTATGAAAAATATTACAAATTCAAACAAAGGTATCCGATGCTACAAGTGCAGCAGCACCTATTAAAATTTGTGCATTATAAAAATAAGTCCTTCAGTACATAAGGATAAATTTTTTTATTGTAAGACTTGGGTTGCTGTATAAATAAAATCTTTGAAATTTTTTTTTATTATCTTAACAATAATATATAATAATATCCAAAAATAAATTAATTCTATCTTACAGCTAAGTATCTACCTATCCTTTTAATAATATGCTTTACCTATGCCAATTACTGGTATTCAACTGGCCAATATTTGAATGTTAGTGGTCAATCTTTGAATATTTTACAAATAACAAAATGTTTCAAAATTACAAATAAACATTGATTTAAATGGCGAAAATATTTGTTAAAATCATTTATCAATAAACTGAAGAAACCAAAAAATAATATTACGAGGTCTGTAAGTGAAATTTTATTACAAAAAAATTAAATTAACTGCATCCACCTTCTTAACTGGCAAATCACTGTATAGTTTACCCTACCCAACTTATTCGTAGAATCCTCCGATACACTCAGATTTCAAAGGCTTCTAGTTTTTAAGATGTGTACCCGTTAAAGTCCAATATTTAATTCCGTATAAAATAATAAAGAAAACCAAACATCTCGCTAATCCAATTTTCTGTCTCAGTGTTAACAAAGAAAAAAAAAACAAATTAAATGACTTGAATTAATTCAAACAAAAAAATTATTGTTCTTTGCCTTAAAAAAAAAATAAAAACTAAGTTACCTGCTACTAAGATAATAAAGATACAAAAACACAAAAGTACAGTCGACGGAAGAGATCTATAGCTAACTCGTATATTAGTGGCGATTAATAAATAATCTTTTTGTTTACTTCATTATAATCGGCAAACTTCAAAACAACAATCACAACTATACAAAGAGAACAACTACAAGACAACATCAGAAATACAAAGAATACATGGATGAGAGAAGAAGTCCTAGAACTGATGGACATAAGAAGATCTTACAAAAATCGCAATGAAGAAAAATATAAAGAAACCGAGAGAATCATCCGGAACAAAATTAGGAAAGCCAAAAAAGAATGGATGAGCAGCAAGTGTAAAGAACTGGGAGATTTACTAAAAAAGCATGACTACTTTAATAGGTACAAAAAGATTAAGGAAGTCACAAATATGAAAAAAAAATCACTACAACAACTTTAGTAGATGACAACAACGAAATAGTATCTTGTCCAGAAAATGTAGAAAATATGTGAGAAAAATACATCGAAGATCTGTTTAATGACGAGAGAACAGAACCACAAATGAATATAGTACAAGAAACAATACTTGATATATTAACATCGGATGTTACAAAAACAGTCAATACGGCAAAGCCACGAAAAGCCTCAGGTCCAGATGAAATATACATAGAGATTATAAAACTTATCAATGAAGAAAATCTTCAGACGTTGTAGCGTTTTTTTATTTAAAGTGTATAGAAAAGATTTCTGTGTTACGCTCCTGTTGTTTTTACCAAAGAAAACAATCGAAATAATATTTCAAGTTTTTTTTTGACGAGATTTTTAAATGCGTATTAACGCTGGAATATGCTTTTATCTCTGTGTTGCAATGTTAGGTGAAACAACAAGTTTTTGTCGCCAAAGAGGTATTATGTTACATGAACTCCCCCTAATATTCCGGTTAGAATAATCAATAATGCGTATATTTCTACCGATTCTAAAATGTAAATATAGATGTTTTTTTGTCTGTGTTTAGATTCAAATATCGAACCTTTTGTTACAGTCAGGTAGAACTCCAGTTTAAAATACGTGCTATTTTGTTTAATTTGTATTATGTAAATTTATGATGCCCCCTGATAAAAAAAAAGGTTTTATTTGTTTTTCTTCGTTAAAAACGCAATAAACATGAATTACCCTAATATTTAAGTTGGTTTTCGTTATTAGACGAGGGTCAAAAAAAGAGTATTTGTTTGTTTAGGCAATAAAGGAACATTTAAAAGTTGTTCTTTTGTAAGAGGAGGGAATATTTGTTTTGGTTTTAAGTGGGTCGACGACAGGCTGTAAGACGGAAGGGAAATTTTTGGCTAGATTCTTGTAAAATGTAACGAAGCAAGGAGTCGAGATTTAAGTTCCAAGCGGGGCAGACATGAAGAATGAGTAAGAAGATTTGAGAGGAAGTGATGAATATTTGCTCGAAGGGAAAGGTCGTTTTAATTGTGATGTTGTAAGCCGGCATTCATTCGCCAAAAATGGTGGAATTTTCACTCTATGTAATATGTCGTTTCTGAAAGAGTGACCACTAACCACTGTTTTGATTTTGCTGAAGATTTATAATGTTTGAGAAGTGAACGAGTTTAGTTCCTGCTTGTTTTTCGTTTTTTGAGAAATCCAGTTCCTTTCCGAGATGCCTTTTACCCACGTAGAATGATATTGAAGCAGTTTTGATTTGAATGTGCCAGTTTCAGCTTCCAATAAAGTTTTCCGTTGATGTGCAGTTAGATACCCCACAGAAATTAGCCAGTTGTTCAAAAGTTTAAGTTAACATGTGTGAACTGAGGTAACATTTACGTTATTAATTTTTAAAGTAAAAATAGACATTTTCTTTTAAAAAGACAAAATTTGCTTTCTTTTATAAATTATTTTTTTAATTATTTACTAGGAACCGTTTCGAAGAGTTTTGTAACCTTTTGTAAACAGATAATGTAAGTTTTTTTCATTTGTATTTGACAGCTAATTTTATTTAATATGCCTTTGTATAAGCTGTTTTTTTGAAAACTGTTTGGTGAGACAAAAATAAATGTTTAACTTGTTTTTTTGATCTATTTTGAGTTTTATTTGAAAAAGATAGTTTTTTCTATATTTTTGATGTTCTATAATTATTTCCCTAGTTACAACTAGTGGTTGTAATAGGTATAATTAGGCACCTCAAGTGGCGCCCTATATTAAATTTCTTGAGGTGTTTCTGTATATTTTCATTCTGTTTGTCCCAAGAGATTTGTATAAATACCCCTTTATTTCTTTTTTTTTGGGGTTGCCCCAATCTAACCCCCAATATCTTCAACTTATCCACGACCCAGCTCTCCAAACAACCAACTGAGTGTCGTATGCACTTGTTTCGATTATTTTGTTTGCCCAATCTTGTCCCCCCATATTCTTACCCTGTGGTAAGCAAAATAGTCGTTACAACGTTAACAATATTATTTAACAAAATATATACCACTGGAATCTTCCCAGAAGACTGGCTTTGATCGACATTTATACCTATACCCAAGAAAAATAAAGCAAATAGATGCTCACAGTTCAGATAAGTTAGCCTGATAAGCCATTTTCTAAAAATTTTACTTAAAAATTGTACATCAACGAATATACAGAGAATGCGAAAGAAACCTGAGCGACAATCAATTTGGATTTCGGATGGGGCTTGGTACAAGGGAGGCACTATTTGGCCTCCAGATATTATTACAAAAATGCCGAGATCAGCGAAAAGACGTATTTCTCTGTTTTATGCGACTACAAAAAAGCGTTTGATAGAGTAAAACACACAGAACTCATAGAAACCCTAACACAACATGGTATAGACCATAACACTGTAGCACTTGGAAAAACTATCATGGGATCAAATGGCGTTGATCAAAATAGACAATCGTCTGACAGCAGAATTGCCTATAAAAAGAGGAGTTCATCAGGGCTGTGTACTTTCTCCTTTGTTATTTAATATATTGTCCAAAAAGATCTTTCAAAATGCCCTCGAAAATATTGAAGAAGAATAAAAATCAACGGAGAATACGTAAACAATTTAAGATACGCAGACGACACCGTCGTTATTGCGGACAGTGCTGAGGGTTTACAACGACTTTTGAATTTCATAACCAGAAAGGAGATAGCTTGGGACTGAATATAAACACAAATAAAACAAAAGTAATAGCTGTTACACGTGCACCAAATGTCGACATTAATATTCGTATCTATAACAAACATATAGGACCAGTGCAAAGATTCCAGTATCTTGGTTGCTGGATAACAAACGATCTTGACCAAAAGGTCAAAATACGTGCTTGTATAGAATATGCTAGGTCCACATTTCAACGAATGAAAAAATTCCTAATTAACTCTACGTTAACGTTGGATGTCATATATTAATTTGTAAATACGTTTATTTATTCCATATTGCTATACCGAGTGGAAACATGGACTCTCAGAATTACAAGTATGAGGCGTATAGAAGCCTTTGAGATGTGGGTTTTTCGTAGGATGCTGAAGATCTCTTGGACAGAGCACGTGCACACGAGTGCTGAGAAAAATGGGTACTGAAAGAGAACTCCTAAATATTGTAAAAAACAGAAAAACGATTTATCTGGGACATATTTACAGAGGAGCGAGATACAACTTCCTACGACTTATAATGGAAGGGAAAGTGGAAGGAAGAAGAGGTCCAAGAAGAAGAAAATGCTCCTGGTTGAAGAATGTAAGAGACTGGACAGGTATGGACACACATTCGATACTAAGAACAGCTCAAGATAGCAAGCAATTTGCTGTAGTTATAGCCAACCTTCAGTAATGGAGAAGGCACCTTAAGAAGAAGAAGAATTATAATCGGCCTAAATAATACACTTATATGTTAAACACCTATTAAGCAGCTTTAACTCTGTAATAAAATATTGGAAGTTTATTTAGTATGTATACCATATTGTTGTATTCCACTTTCAACCATTTGCTTCCAATCTTCGACAGTTAGTTTAGTTAATTCTGGTTGTTTTAAACTTTGTGTTTGATTGTCCACTGGTACATAAAAATAGTTTGTTTGCGTACTGGAAGACGATGAACCCCACGTTGAATTGAAGGTGTCGTTAAGTATTTTGTTAAACAAATTTCTGTCCTCTTCATTTACTAATTTATTCACAAATATATCTTTAGCTTCATATTTAAGGATCTGAAACAAAATCATGATTAGTATTGTAAAATATTGTAAATGATTGGAGAAGGTAATATTGTTTTTTTAATGCGTTGGTAAACCAAAATACCAAACCTTGCATAAGAACAATGACTTATTAAAGGATTATTAAGATTATAAATTTTTTTATAGATTAATAATGCTAATACACTGATAAAAAAAATGTTGGGAACTGTACTCCCTTCATTATGCTATTATTTTGTTAGTGCTTGTTTATGTTAAAATTCCACGACTCCAGTCCACACACTAGAATCTATACAGAAAACACATACCAAGAAACATTTTTATTCTTTAATTGCGTTTCTATAATTTTATAGTTGCAACGCTAAAGACCACTAACTAGGTACTCACTAGGTACTGGCTTAATTATAAATAAAAAGGTTAAACACCTCGTAAGATACTTTCGTGCTATGAACTCTAGAATGTGCATCCTGAGACTAAGGGGAACATTTTTTAATGATAGCGTTTTAAATGTGCATGCCACTACAGGAAAAGGAAGACGATGTCAAAGAAAAATTCTATGAAGAACTAGAAGCCGCATACCATTCATGCCCAAAGAATGACATCAACATTATTTATGGTGATATCAACGCAAAAATAGGAAAAGAGCAATAATACCTACCAACTATAGGTAAGCACAGCCTTCATGAGGTATCCAATGATAATGGCATCAGACTAATAAATCTAGCAACTTCCCTTAACATGGTCATTGCCAACACTTGCTTCCAGCGAAAAAATATTCACAAGGGAACGTGTAGATCTCCAGATGGGATTACAGTAAACATGTTCGATTATGTTATTATTGATTCTAGACATCACTCAGATGTAATAAACGTATACAGCAGACGAGGGGCAAATGCAGACTCGAATCACTACCTAGTGGAAAGTAGAATAAGAGCCAGAATCTCAACATTAAAAAAAAAAGAGATCCAAAGTTAAAAAATATGAAATAAAAAACTTAGCAGACAACAGCAAAAAGGCAAAATACAAAGAATATATAAAAGAAAGGCTAGAACATAGACATAAGCACAAGGATATAAACAGGAAGGAGAAACACAAGGAGAATGGGAATCGTGTAAAAACATCATACAAGACGCAGCCAAAGAGACGCTGGGTCTACAAAAAAACTCAAATCAACTGAATGACAGTGGTTAGATGAAGAGTGTCGTAACATAACAAAGAGAAAAAATAATGCATATCAACGACTACAACAACGACATAGAACACAAAATCCAGAGGAGGAATATAGAATGCTAACGAGGGAAGAGAAGAAAATACATCGCAAAAAGAAAAGAGAACATATAGAAAAAGAAATCCAAACAATGGAAGAACTAAATAAACTATCAGAAACCAAAAAATTTTACCAAAAACTTAACAAAAGTAGAAAAGAATTTAAACCAAGAATAATGATGTGAAGAGACAAATAAGGAGAGATAGTAAATCAACACAGTGAAATACTACAAAGACGGACAGAATTCTTCAAAGAAAAGTTTGAAAAAAAAAACTATATGATGGAATTATACTGGATCAAACCGATACCAGAGAATCAACCCGAAGCAGTTAGCAGACTGAAAAACAAGTCAGCTAGATTAGACAATATTAGCGAACAATTAATAAAGAAAGGTAAAGACTCTCTATTGAATGCGATACACGGATTAATAGTGAACATATAAAATAATAAACAACTGGCACAAGGCTGGAATACCGGAGTAATTATTTCACTACATAAAAAGGGAGATCAGCTTCAATTAAAAAACTACCGGGCAATAACGCTACTAACTGTGTCATATAAAATACTGTCAAATATTGTGTATGACCGATTAAGACCATATGCGGAACAAATAGTTGGGGGATATCAACGCGGTTTCCGCAGTCAAAAGTCCACAATAAATCAGATCTTCGTCTTGAGGCAAATCTTGGAAAAGATTAGTGAATTAGGTACATATCCACATCATCTTTTCATTGATTTTGAGAGTGTCTATGATAGCATCCATCGAGAATTCCTGGTCAATAAAGTAAAGGAGTTTAATATTCCAACTGAACTCATGGATAAAGTAAAAAAAAACACTCAAAGTACAAAGCAACATTCGAATTCAAAACGCACTAACAGATAAAATCCATGTAAGAACAAGCCTACGACAGGAAGATGCCCAATCCTGTATTTTATTCAATATCACATTAGAGAAAATAACTAGAGAGTTAAAAGTCAACACCAGAGGAACAGTAATAACAAAAAGTGTACAAATATTGGCATTTGCAGATGATGTTGATATCATAGCTAGAAGCAAAAGAGAGATGATAGAAGTATTTAATGCGATAGAAAGAGCGGCACAAAACAGTGGCCTGGACATTGACGAAATAAAAACCAAATACATGAAGGCCAATAAACCGATAGGCCAAAGAAACCTACAGAATCTGAAAATAGGAGACTATAACATCGAAAGCTTGAAAAATTTTACATGACTAGGCTCACTAGTTACCGCAGATAACAATGTCAGTGAAGGAGTTAAGAGAAGAATACATATTGCTAATAAAACATATAAAAGACTAATTAAACATCTAAGATCTTACAACATCACATGAAAAACCAAATACAAAATATACAAGACCCTGATAAAACCGGTCCTTGTATATGGATCAGAGACATGGACACTCGAAAAGCGATGGGAACCTATTAGGTACGTTAGATATAACTTTGAACTATACACAGCATACAATGAATCCTAGGTCATAAGATTTATAAAGATCGGACGTCTGCGCTGAATGGGCCGTGTTATACGGATGTTGGAGACTGAAAGACCAAAACATATATTGAAGCAAACATTAGTAGGGAGAAGGTCAAAGGGAAGACCCAAACTTAGATACATGGAATAAGTGGAACAAGATCTGAAAAACATTTAAGATAACTGGAAAAACAAAGTAAGAAACAGAACAGAATGGCGGAAAATCCTAGAACAAGCCAAGAACCAAAAAGGTTTATCGAGCGACTGATGATGAATTGCTTTTAGTCGGGTAAGTGCGATTTGCCTTTATATAAGCAATATTTTGTAAAAACCAGATACTTCGGATCTAAATCAATCATCACATGTTTTTGCTCATTTTGTTGTCTTACCTCAATCACAAAATCTTCTGTAGCTATATTAGCACTATTCCTATAATTGAGCATTCCTTGACACCAGTTAATTACATCATGTGGAGTAAATATGTAATGCTTGTTTTGAAAACCACTAAAAGAGTTTTTTACCTAAAATAGTAAAAAATATAAAATATTGACACAGTATTAAAGTTTCAGAATTAGAACTTACTTTATCATAAATAGAAATTACCAACGCTGCTAATTTGACGATTTTTGCTTTTGGAAACGAATTTGAAATATTTTTCAATACAGACGTTAGGTATGTCACGATGATAACAGAAAAATCTTCTAGTTCAGGTAAGCTAAAATACAAATTTTAAGATTTGACAATTTTCAAAGGAAAATGTAAAGATAATTTAAAATAATTGTAAGTTTGTATATAACAATACGATAATAGCACCTATAGTATATATGAAAAAATGCCAATACAGATAGCCACTATCAACTACTAAACAGGTGTTAATATAGTCTTTAATAAATCCTCATCAAATATAGTAAAAATGATTTATTATAGACTTTAGGTATAGTACTTGTTTAGACACGTATGACTTATTTTAACGTCGCGACTATGCAGGGTGAGTCATGAGGAACTTTACATACTTCTACCTTGTGTAGAGTCCCTCAGGGAGCATATCATGTGGCCACTAAAAAATGTCAACTCCTCTTCTTTATTAATTAACAGGGTGATTTGTGTAATTGACCATTTATTTCATTTTACTGTAGTGTTTATACGGCCCATTTGATTTTTTAAATTTTTGCATGATACAGTACACTTCTATTAAGCATTCGACTGGTATTAGCTAAACTAAAAAATTCCAGGATTGGCTTTGAAAAAATTAATTTAATGATTCGTATTAAATATTACACCCTGTATATATATATATATATATATATATATATATATATATATATATATATATATTTAAATACAATAAGTGATTTTCAAAGTACATAAATAGCCAATGAAAACGACATATGCGACAATGCTGTCGCACTTTTATTAAATTTTTAGTGAACGATCAAATCTTACCAAAAATAGAACAACTATAATGAAGTATCAAATTATAAGGTAATTAATTTAAACTAATGTTATAAATTTCAAACATTTTAATTGAAATGATAAACTGAGTCACTGCACAACAAAAAACAGTAACTACTAACAATAACGAAGAACAATTAAAAAAAACTAAAAATATGTACATAGTTATGATAAACCCATAAATTAAAACTGGAAAATGTACAATAAAGTAACAAAGTAAAAATAATTCAAAATAGATTTTCGAAATGGAACCCTGCAGCCTGTACACATTTTTTTTGCCTAATTGTTAACTGACGTATTGAATTACGGATACTCTGGGGATCGTTTCTAATAGTATTACAACAATGTATAATTCTATCAAATAATTGTTGTCGGTTATTAATATTCACTGCGTAAACTAGTTGCTTCAATCGTCCCCAAATATGGTAATCAACGGGATTGAAATCAGGGGATTTTGAAGGACACGAAATGGGACCTGCACGTCCTATCCACCTGTTGCCATAAACATTATTGAGATGTTGTCTCACTGCCAGTAAAAAGTCATCATCATCATCATCATGCTGAAAATACATCCCTCGGATAGCAACGTTCGTGTTGGCAAGCAAATTCGGCAAAATATTTTGTAGAAAGTTCAAATAGACCTGCCCTGTTAAAGGACCATCAAAAAAGTGAGGACCTACTAATGGTTATTTATGACACCAATCCACACGTTAACCGAAAACCTTAACTGAGAACGACGTTCTCGAAAAGCATGGGACTTTTCTTCTGCCCACACATGTGAATTTCGTGAAATATTTATCCCATCTCTGGTAAATTGGGCTTCATCTGTAAATAGTGTCCTGTATAGCGTTGGTCGATTATTGTTAATCCATCTACAAAATTTTAACCTATCGATCTCATCTCCAGCATGTAGTCGCTGAACAATTTGAATGTGATATGGGTATAGATTATTTTTTTTGTAAGACTCTACTTACTTTTGATTGAGTAGCATTGAGTTCTCGACTTACTTGTCTAGTTCTTATTGTAGGATTCATAGTAACGGCGTCCATAATGTCATCTTTCTGCGCTTCATCTACATGTCGCTCTGTTGTTCCACTAGGAAAAGTGCCATTTTCTCGCAAAGAATTAAAAACTGACCCAAATGTTGGATGACTGGGAGTTCGACGATTAGGAAATCTCCTGCGATATTCTCTACTAGCAGCCCTATCATTCCCATTACAGAATCCATAAACAAATATTATGTCTGCATATTCTGTGGTTGAAAAGTGATGTGGCATTTTGAACGAAAGTAACAAAAGCTATACCAAAACTAACACAATGTACGTAACGTAGATATGACAGAAGAAATACGTATTCTTGTACACATAAATAACAATTGATAATGACAATAATGACAATGGGTATAAAATATCAAGAAATCAAACGGTCAACGCCAACCTTCATTTTAAACTTTTTTAGATTTATTTTTATTTAGTACAGTTGATGCAATGTATTATAATTTGACATAAAATTTTAATCATTTACAATCAACAAAAACTAACACTAACTCACACAAGAGGTTTGACTTTTTAATCAATTTAATTTATTATTTATCGGAAATAATGCCCCAATACGATCTATGAGTAAAAATTTAAAATTGAAAAACAATTGATTCTATCGTAGAGATAATCCAAAGTGACAGTATAGATGTTAATTTTCTACGTATTAGATTATGTTGTAGGAACTCATTTTATTTAAAATGTTTGCAATTTATAACATTTGTTTAAATTAATACCTTATAATTTGATACTTCATTATGTTGTTCTATTTTTGGTAAGATTTGATCGTTCACTAAAAATTTACTAAAAGTGCGACAACATTGTCGCATATGTCGTTTTCATTGGCTATATATGTACTTTGAAAATCACTTATTGCATTTTAAAAAAAATATATACAGGGTGTAATATTTAATACGAATCCCTAAATTAATTTTTCCAAAGCCAGTCCTGGAATTTTTTAGTTTAGCTAATACCAGTCGAATGCTTGATAGCAGTGTACTGTATCATGCAAAAATTTAAAAAATCAAATGAGCCGTATAAACACTACAGTAAAATGAAATAAATGGCCAATGACACAAATCACCCTGTTAATTAATAAAGAAAAGGAGTTGACATTTTTTAGTGGCCACATGATATGCTCCCTGAGGGACTCTACATATGGTAGAAGTATAAAGTTCCTCATGACTCAGCCTGTATATAGGAAACATTTATAAAATATTAACAAACTTTGTGTTAGTTTTGATGATATTTATCCAAGATTCCGCGTACAAAAACACGGTTATTTAATACATTGTTAAAGACAAAGGACGGTTCTTTCATACACTATATGTTAAGAAAAACCGATGAAAAAAATTAATGGCTTTTGTTAAAAGTGCAGATCGCTGGGTATTTATCGCCCACACCTAGCGTTTGCTTCTACAAACCAACTCTGGTCCCAACAGCTGTGTCAGTTAGTTAGCACCAAGCACTCAGTCACTATCAGTCGTTCTATTCGCATCTAGTAAAGGTATGAGTTACCAAGTATATTGCCTAGTTAGGTTTATTGCGAAATCGTATAGTTGTTCTGAACTATTTAATATTTTATTCTGTCGCGTTAAACTTTAATCATAATATTTTATGTTCGTTTATAGTATAATATAATTATTTCATTCTCGATTTTATTTTGTTTAACATCATTATGTTTCCTTTGTATTATATTTAAATAGAAATCAGTTAAATTCGTTGTTCTTTCTTGTATCATATTTAGCATACTCAAAATTTCTTTTGTAGACGGGCGGTTTGGATTGTGTGATATAGAATATCCACAGCTTGCCTCAAGAGCTGTGTTTTTTATGGAAAGTCGTTTCCCTTTTTGAAAACTAATCTCAATATTGCTTGTCGTATCGTTTTCGTATCATATAAGATTTTAATTCCTAGCTCTCTAATTTTTTTTATTATCTTTAAATATATGTATATTTTTGTCCTTTGCTTTTATTTGTTTTAATAGAGTTTATTATAGTCTACTCATTTATTATTTTTCTATGAAAATATACATTCTTCTTCCTTTCTGAAGACCTCAATTGTTATATAAAGGTCTTCGTATGTGCAGAAAGCAACAGGACTATCCGGATGCGTCATTTTTCTACCATGTTTGTATTATTTGATAATGACCTATTATTATCACACTGTAAGCTGTAAAAATGTAGGTCACTTCTGGCAAAAATCTGCGTATCAGTAAAAGTCTAATGAAAACCATGTGTCACCTGAGACTCGGTGTTAAACTGTCCTTTTGTTTCACTTAATCATGTTTAAATTTTAGAATTAGCGACTATGATTAAGAATTAAGAGACCATTTCATGGTAGAGGAACTTATTATATTAAATGGACTATTAAATGGACCTGCTCTTTCTCTTATAGAGCCCATTATACTCAGCCGTGATGCACCAAACTTGTTTTTCTCAAATGTCGAGTTTAGTACGATTTGATGACATAAATACTAGCCAATAACCAAGAGAGATAGATAAATTGGAACCAACCCGTGATCTATTCAAAATATTTGCAAACAATTGGCAGAAGCAGTACAATCCACGCTTTTACCTAACAGTAGATGAGCAACTGGTGTCATTTTGTGGCAAGTACCCCTTTCAGGTGTACACGAAAAGGAATCCTGCCAAATATTCAAAGACTCAAAGACATCATAGTGCAACAATTTACAAATGTACATATCGGAAAAATTGAAAACGCTCCATAACGTGACCAAGGCAAAAGAGTTTTGTTAGTCTTGGTCTCTGTTTTGAATCCCGGTCACAGTATTACCACACACAACGTATTTATCTCTATAGAGTTAGCCGATGAATTGACTGACAGAAAATTGACAATAAGTGGAACTTTACGACGTAACAAGAATTGTATTTCTGCCACCCCCTCTGTGGCTCAGTGGTAAGAGCGCCTACCTTTAAATCTAAAGGTCGTGAGTTTGAATCTCACCTGGGTGAAAATTTTCGTTTATAAAAAAAAAATTAATAAATGAAAATAATTTCTATCCTTGTGTAAGCGGTACTCACCGGAATGACCGCAGACGTTCGGATAGAATTAGCATCTCTTAGCAAAGACAATGACGTCGACTTTGCTAAGTATCAAGACAATTACTCTACACACACAAACACACACACACACACTACATTAATAAACTTATCTTGATTAAGACTGGATGAATGACAATTGTCCAAGCCAAAACACACAAAAAAAAAGTATTTCTGCCAATTTTTTGTCAACTGGAAATCGAACTCTATATTCGTCAATTTTTTTATTTTAATCGGAACTCAATATAGTATCGTATACACCAAATGTAAATAAGATCGTTATACTACTATCGTCTGGACATCAATATCTGGGTATTTCTAGGAAAGGAAAAAGGAAGCTAGAAATGATATTACATTATAACGGTACTAAGCACTTATGGTGCGGTAGATACTGTGTTATAATAGATAGTCTCAAAGTTAACCAACAATGGTGTTTATAAATCTAGTTGACAAAGCGGCAGTACATACTTTTGTTTTATGAAAAAATCTTAATCCAGAATAAAATTTAGCAAATTTATATAAAAAGCGGCTTTTTCTTTTGGAATTGGCAAATGTGTTAGCAGAACCACATATTTTTTTTTGAACCCATTCTCTATCCTTCCATTGTTGGATATAGGTCTCCCCCAGTTCTCTCCATCTTTCCATATCTTGAGCTGTTCTCTGCCATGTGGGACCTCCTTGTTTCCTGATGTCTTATGTTTTTGTCTTTAAAATTTAAACTAATTTTTCATGTCTTACTTGGTTAAGTGCTGTTTTTAAATCGACGTAACGAACATGCATTTTCACATTAATATCTATGCATCTTTAAGCTACCACGTTAAAACAACTAACGCCTCTCTGGTTTCTACTCCGCATTTGAACCTTAGCTGACTATAATGTATTCCTTCTTCCAGTTTTTTATTTATACGACCATGTATTATTTTTAAAAATAATTTGACTACGTGACATTAATGATATTTTTCTGGAATTATTGTAGTCTTTAGCGTTTTACTAATTTAAGCTTTAAGGGATAGTGAAAAAGGTGGAGAGTAAGTATTATCCAATTTAAGCTTTCTACTTAGATTTGTTCTAGATCTAGATCTGTTTTTAGATTTGTTCCGGACATAAAGCTTTGCCACTTTCGCAGTTTTTAAATTCCTCTTTTATTATCTGCAGAACCACACCATCTTCTACTTCTACTTCCATTTCATCTGTTCTATTGTCTTTTAACTACTCATTGATGTATTTGGTTCATCTCTTTAATTTTTCGTTAGTTTTCAACACAAGTTTTAACCATTTGTATCTTTCAGTATTTACGATTTTTTTCCATTGCTGTGAGTTAACTCTTAATTATTTTGTGTGTGTGCGTGTTAAAACTATCATGTCTTTTCTGGTATTCTTCTATTTCTGCACATTGTTCTTTTAATTTCTTTCGTTTGCATAATTTTGTATTTTATTTGTTTATATATATATATATATTTATATATATATATATATATATATATTTATATATATATATATTTATTTTCATATCTTTGTTTTTAGGTTGACATCTTTCTTTCATCACATTTCAAATTTTCTCCATCATCTAAAAAAACTTTAGAACACCAATATGAGCCCTTTACTGATTTTAATCTTTATGATAAAGATTTCACTTCAATGGTTTATTTAATTGGTAAAAAATTTTAGTGATCATCTATGTGGAAATAATCAATGGATCGTGATTGGGTGGTTTTTGACAAGCATTCTTTAAAATAAAAGATGGCTTATAATATGACAAATTAATTTTGACAAAATTATTCACATGTATTTTTAAAAATATAAAAAAATTTTTAATCGACGTGAAATATTTTTTAGCCTGGTTTACACAAAAAAAAAACGGAAAGCGCATGCAATTTATATGAAACAAGTATATAATGATTTATTTCTAAAAATTAAGAGATTATAACATTAAATTTGACAGTTTCCGAAACTTATAGTGAAAACCTACCTTACATTGAAGATCCGCAAATTGGAAGTAAATCTTTGAGATAGGTTATTGGTGGCTTCCAAAGATCCAACGACAGTCAGGTTGTCAATTCTAATGAATTCGACATTTGAGTCAAAGAAACCTTCATACACAATCAACTAAAATAAAGTTGTTAGTGTTAAAAGGGTATGTCAAAATTTATATATAATTTCGTGTTTAATGAAAGATTTTTTGTTATGGATCTTTTACGGGTAAGTAGATTATTTATTATATATTTTTTAATAGAAACATATTTATGAGTTTCAATTTAATACATTCATAATTAGTAAAAATAAAAATATCAACAGCTTCGTATTACCTTAATATTGGTTTTGAATAAAAAATGTGATTTAGTGTTGAGAAGACTCAACACTGGTAAAAAATATATCTGCAATATTTTTCATTTTTCCATTTAAATAATTTCATTTTAAACTTACTAATGTGCTAGTGTGTCTTTGGACGGATGCCCGAGAGAGTGAAAAATGTCGTTTTTATGCTTTGTTTGTTCTAAAATCTCACAAAATAAAATAAAATTAAAGCTTTTCAAAAACTAATTTAGTTTATAGTTAATTATTATATGTAAACTTTATGAATTTTGCAACAAGTTCGGAAATGTAATAATAATATAGTATGTGACGTTTACATCAATAATATATTGGGTGACGTTTATGTTATATCGTATGACGTTGTCATACAACAATAAATTTTAAATGTAATTAGTAACAAAAAAAAATAGTTGAGAATATTGTTAACACGTTGACTGCCACGGCAACCGTATACGCTCGCTTCGTGATTTTCCCAATATGCCCCGCCGGACGTATACTCCCGCTATGTACTCGACAACATTTAAGGTCTATATTTGCCAGCGGTCTTATTTAGAATGATTTTAGATAAAGTATACGACCGCTGTGGCATACAAAGCTAGCATATAATTGCGGGTTATATAATTGCTAGACAAATATTGAAGAAAACTGCAATTTTTATTTATATATATATATATTATATATATATATATATATATATATATATATATATATATATATATTTACACGACCCGACTATAGCTCCTCTTTTCAAATGCGGTTATAAGTCGTCTTCCAGAAGGAGTGAATATCTTTAAAATATTATTCGTGTATATTAAATTTTTTATAATTCTTATAATGTATCGAAAATAAAAACATTATAATTTTTTATACAATTACCAAATTAAAACCAATTGGTCTTCCATCTAAAATTACTATACATACCTCCTCCAATGTATATTAAATTAACAAAATAAATCTTTCTGCTATTCAAAATATACGTCAAAAACTACATTACAGTGGTTTACTCCTCCAAATATAAATTAGAGACTAAACGACGGTGGATACGTAAACCAAATAATATATTGAGTATATTTGGCGCGAAAAAATCTGTAAGCCTAACGATTTCTAACGTTTTGTTTTGCAGTGATAAAATATTCTTTATTCATATTACACGTGTGGTGCACTGGAAACTCTAGGTATGTACTTATATAATTTTTGTTTTGTTTCAATATTATTGTTTCAATTTAATAGGTAGTTGGATTGAACAAAACTACTAGATAATTATGCAAAGTAATATATTTTCTGTCTTCTCCACATTACACATTAGATATCTTTGTACACTTTACAAATATATCTGAACTACATTTATGAATACATATTATACAGTGTATCAAGAGATTGATTTAACTATACATGTAATGGATCAAACATTTTTGAATCTCGTTTTGATATTTTGGGGTCTCGGCTGGTTAGAGTTGCACAAATTTGACTTGAATGTTTGAAATTGACTTGAGTTTGACTTAATTTCCAGTCAAACTCAAGTCAATCCTTCTGACAAATAATTCTTCTTCTTCATGTGTCACTCCTATCGGAGATTGAAAATCATCTAGGCTATCGTGGCCTTGTTTAGAGCTGACCTAAAGAGTTCATTAATGGTGCAGCCAAAAAACTCTCTCAAATTCCGCAACCAAATCTTTTACGGTCTAGATTCCGTTTTCCTTTTATTTTTCCTTGAATTATATTTTGATAGTAATGCGTATTTATGTCCTTTCATTAGGTGACCCAAATATTCTTTTCTTCGTTTTATCGTTGACAAAAATTTCTGGGCCTTTTCCTTTCCTTCTTATTAAGTTCCCAAGTATTTGTAACTTGATACTTTTTCAATTTGAATGCTGTTTATACTAATATATGCTGATTGTGTCATGTTTTTACTGAAGACCATATACTTGGTTTTTTTATATTGATATTTATGCCATAATTGTTGCAAGCAATATTTAAGTTTTTAAGAAATCATTGTAATTCTTCTACTGTTCTTGCACCTAATACAGTGTCATCCGCGTATTCAATATTATTTACAACATCTTCACTGATTACGATTTCTTCGTTTGCTTGCAAAAGGGGTTTCTGGCAGATGCTTTCACTATAAACATTAAATAGCAGCGGTGACAAGATGCATCCCTGTCATACTCCTCTACGTATTTCTATTGCCTGTGATGTCTTATTTCCTATTTTTATATTTTCCTGATTCCAATATATATTGAGAATTATTCACAGATCTTTATTATCTATGTCTTTTCTTTCAAGAATGTCGCTTAGCTTATCATGGCGTACTCTGTCAAACTTTGGCAAATAATTCAAGTCAAGTTAAACTGGTCAATGGTTAAGGCTTTGAAAATTAAAATTGTTTGTTAAACTAGTTTAAAAGAGTTTGAAAATAATTTATTTATTTTAGTAGATATACTTTTTTTTCAAGATAAAAATAATATTAAGATGCCAATTTAGATAACAGAATTCGATTCAGATCAGAATAGAGTCGTAAATTCAAGAAAATGATTCATTTACACGTAAAATTGCCTGCTTAGCAAGTTTCATTTTATCGTTGATAATTTTATGCCTTCTATTCTGTTAACGATATCATTTTTTTGTTTATTTAAGTGTTGCTTAGATGACAGCAAAAAATCCGTCGATGGTTTTTTTATAATACCAAGTGTATCTGATCTAGTGAAATTGATCCGATTTTTGTGAAATTTTGTATTTTGACATAATTTCATATTTTGAAAAACTTTTATTAATACAATTTTGCCGTATTATTGACCGAAATGAAAATTTTTTTCTTAACTGTCACGGACAACTTGAATTTTAAAAAGTAAACATGTGCTTGAAATTATTTTCAGATCAAGCAGGCCGGGACCCCAAAACATCAATACGAGCATAAAAATTTTGTATAAAAGTATAAGAGTTTAAAAAAAAGTAGGGTTCAAATTTTTGCCCACTCAGTTAAACAATACTTAGATAGTTTATCACCAGTATATTTTTAGGATGAAACCAATTCGTTTTTGTAACAGAGCGCTAAGTCCCGTAAAAATTAAACAATCAGTAAGCGAGAAAGTAAATTCAACTGAAATTCTTTCGGTAAGTTCCAGTTAGATTTTTAAAAAAAACATAGCTTATACTTAAAAAAAATATTTTGTAGATCAAAAGCTCTCGATTTTATAGTGGATCTAAAGAAAATATACTCCCTTGTAATTTTACCCTAAAAGAACAACATAACAAAGATGAGGATCAGTATAAAGTTGGTAAAAAAACCGCTAATGAAATATTACCGATTGAAAATTCTAATGCATCTGACATTTCTTCCGTAAGTTTAACATTTAAGAGCATTTTATTCTCAAATATGAACAGTATGCGGCAAAATAAACAGTACGAAAGTGCGTATGCCTCAGATTTGTATGTGTCATGTGCCGAAACGTATTAAATAATTTCTGAACGTAGTTATAACTTATGTGAATGTCATGATAATGTTAGGTGCTTCAGGATGGTTCTCAGTTTTGCAGAAAATTTTTTTATCGTGAAGTACTATTTTCGATCATACGAAAAGGTCGCGAAATCGGTCCAAAAGGCTTAAAATCAACAATAGTTTTAGCAGGACGGGCAATCTGTCACACGGTCAGTGAGTCTCTTTGAATACTGTTCAGTGATTTTTCATACATATCGCAATTATAAGGCCTAACCTAACGAACACCACATAATACGTACATATGAGGAATGCTGAAGGAGGCAGACCGATACAATGTCTGACATTCCGGAATAACAAACTCCAATTAGATTTTTTTAGTGCCAGATGGCATCTTTATTATCTGTTTTATCGGAAACGTCGTTGTGAATAATGCTGGTAAGGCTATATTATTATGTATACTAAATATATAGATATTCATATTCATTTCAATATTCATTTCAGTACTGTTTATTTTACCGCATACTGTATTTCCCTACTTCAGTCACTTTTTACTATGAAAAATAATTTTAGGAAATATCCTTAAGTTCCCCTCAATTTTATGGTTCACCTGACAGTATCTTCACATCTGAAGAAAGTGATAAAGATAACACAGATTCTCCAGATTTAGAAACTCCATCACCAGCTTCTGATGAATTGTTAGATCCCAATTATGTTCCCTTCGATGATTCTTCAGTAAGTGCAATAAAACTTTAAAAATAGTAAAATATGTTGTGGACTCTGTAATATTGAAATGGATAACGGAAAAAATATAATATTTTTTTATTGGGTTTTTAGGAAAAGTCTTCAGGTTCTCCAGAAATAAATAATTTTTCTTCCCACTTTTGTCCAAAACAAGTTAACAAAGATGAGTTAAATATTGAGGTAAGTTTATTTCAAATATTTTAGCAATATAATTCAAAGCACATACTTTTTAGGAACAATCTAATTCACCTTCGTCTTCTGTGAGCCTAAATATCCATCAACATGTGGAAGAAACTTGCAATATAAATACGAAGTCTTTAAAAAAATCTGTTTTTTGTTACTTCTGTGAATCAGTTGTATTAAATTTTCCTCGACATATACTACGAAATCATCAAAGCGAATTAGAAGTTCAAAAAATTTTGGTTTACCCTCCAAGAAGTAAAACGAGAAAGCAATTGTTATTTGCTTTGAGAAAAAAGGGAAACTATTTGTTAGGTTCTGCAAATTTAAAACCAGTTAGGAAAGGATCTGCAGATACAAACTACCTACCGTGTGACCACTGCTTCGGCATGTATTCGGCAAAAAACTTATGGCGTCACAGAAAAATATGTAATCCTGATTCAATAACCAGAAATTCCCAATCACAAGCACAAAATTTCTTATTAAGGCACCTTAAATTGGACACATATTTAAAAGAAACTGTTTTTCCTCGAATGCGAGCAGACAATGTATCACTCGTGGCTAAAAAAGATCCGCTTATTTGTGCGTTTGGCTCAAGATATTTGAAGATCCATAGAGAACAACACTTTATACCAGTAGCGTCAAGAAAAATGAGGGAATTAGCTAAAATTGTTATCGAACTAAGAAAAAATAGTTCTTCAATCAAAACGCTTTTTGACTCATTGAAACCAGAATTTTACGATTCTTTAGTTTTTGCTACTAAAATAGTTTCAAAATATGATAACGAAAGCAAAACTTTTAAAGCTCCATCATTTGCTAAAAATATTGGCACTACACTAAAACAATGTTGTGATATAGCACTTATGCTTAATGCGAAAAAGTCTGAGTTTACAGTTAAAAGTACCAGCACTAAAGCTGACTTAAAATCTTTAATACAAATAATAGAAGGAAATTGGAAATATGATATTTCCAGTCAAGCTGCAAATGATTTAGACATGAAAAAAATGG